TCGTGCCTTGGCCTGTTCCCCCCCAGCGGCCCAGTGACCGCCATCCTTCAGAGGCCAATGGACAGTCAGGTTTGGGCCCCCAGTGACAAAACACGCAGGGCCTCACGGGATGGGGGTGGAGCCGCAACCGTCCTCTCCATCCCAACGAGACCCCAAGTCATCATCCACGAACGGTCTCTCTGGCTCCTGATCAAGCTGCTTAATGGCCATGATCCCAGAGACTCAGAAACAAATCTCGAAACCCAGTGGCTTTCGGCAGAAATGCGTCCGGACCCCACAGTAGGTTACTGTTGCCGGGCCACCCCAGGGAGGAAAGGGTGTCGTCCCTCCACCTGCCCCCCCTAGGCGGCTCTATGGCCACCATCATCCAGAGATAACTGGACAGTCAGGTTTGGGCCTTCAGTGACGAGACACGCAGGGCCTCATGGGATGGGGTTGGAGATTGCTCTTTCCTCCCCGCCCCAGTGAGATCCTGAGTTGCCACCCATGACCAGCCTTTCTGGCTCCTGATCAAGCTGCTTAATGGCCCTGATCCCAGAGACTCAGGAGCAAATCTCGGAACCCAGCAGGTTTTGGCAGGAAGTCTCTCCAGATTTAAGTGTTAAAATTTCGGAATTTCAAAATCACGTGGCCACTACTGCAGCCACGCAACATCATATGTTATTATTCATAATCAGCAATAGAAAACAAATTGTCTACTGTTGCCTTTTCAGCAGATCTCAGTGTTGGGGTAAAATTTCAATAATGGTGGGTCTGGTGTCAAAATATTGAATGTGATCAAAGTAGAGAGAGAGAGTAATGTGGAAATCCCATCTGCCCCACAGGTAGAGGGAGAGTGTGGGATGGGGGTATACTGGGGTTGATGGGGGTGGAGAATGGGCACTGGTACAGGTGTTTCATTGTATGACCGAGACTTAGACCCGAAAGCTTTGTAACTGCTCTCATGGTGATTCAATAAATAAAATTATAAAAAATTTTTAAAAAAGTAAGGTGGAGTTCATGCCCAATTCAATCAGCTAATCAGTGGCTGAATAAATAGCAGTACTCCTACATACAAAAATAGGATTAGGGGCTGGAGCAATAGTGCAGCAGTCAGGAAACTTGTCTTGCACATGGTCAACCCTTGTTTGAATCCTACCACCCCATATAGTTTCCCCAGGCTCTCTCAGGAATGACCCCTGAGCACAGAGCCAGGAGTAAGACCTGAGCACCACTGGATGTGACCCCCAAACCAAAAAATAATCAATTGAAATATGGTTAATAGTCATGACTTCATAATATTGTTTTGAGTAATAAATGAACTTATGCATATAAAGAATATAAAACATGGCCTAATATAGAGTTCGTGTTCTGTGTATGTTAACTATTATTATTAATTTGTTTATGTCTGGGTCCTACATAGGACCAGGAATAGAGAGAGAAATAAAATCCCTGCAGTCACGTAACTTATTTTAAGCATAGAACAGAGGCTTACATACACAGAAGAGTCATTTACCAGTATGCCTTCAGTACATAAATATACTGTTCTCTAGAAGAAGCCTAATAATGTAAAAGTGTAGTTCTAGAGTTATTATTGTGGAATCTTATCTACCACTCACTCATTGTGTAACTTTGGAAATGGTCTTAGTTTTTTCCCATTCTAAAGTGGCTAAAATATCTTACCTCTACTCAATGGAAATTTCCTATTTGAGACAGAACATCCTGACCCTGTGCCAGGCTGTCTTCACTTGGGCAACTCGGAGGGGGGTGGGTTTAGTTTCCCTCCCCGCCCCAGCAGAACCCTGGCAGCCGAAATTCTCCAGAACCTAACTGCACAGCCACAACTCTCCACAGTCTTGGATGAGTCTCACCTATGAGGGAACCTGCAGAAAAAGCCATGTAGGCGGGACCCATGACTGAGATCCACAAGCTGGCTCGAAACAGGACTGGTCCTCCTCCCTACAGCTCTCTAGTTTTCCAGTAGCTTGGCAGTCACACCCACAAACTGCCTCCAGTGCTGTATAATCTAATCAACGGCCAAGATCCAGAGCCTATGAAATAAAGCTCCCAGAAGAGAGTGACACAGAATTTCCTGTAGCATGCGGCCATGCAACCTCTTACACTCTAGCCCACTGATATACCAAAAGTAGCACACATTTGTTTGGGTTTAACATACATGCTTGTAATCTCTTATACAAGGGTTTAAATGGCTCCAGGATGAAATACAAGAATCTTCACACACTTTCATCTTATGGTGGTGGGATTAGTCTTTGAATATTAGGAATAGTAAAGAACTATTGTGAACAACTTTATAAAAACTAAAATAAAATAAAAAGACAAAAAAAGCAAAGTAAATTATTTAGCATCTGCCTATTGGGCAGGCTTGAGTAGTGGTGGGAAAATGCGAAATAATGATGGTTGGAAGGTACAATGGTGGTGGCACTGGTGTTGAAATATTGAATGTAATCCATTATTGTGAACAAATTTATGATAATAAAAAATTATTCATTAAATATTCATATTTGAGTGTCCTATTTGCTAAAGTATTCCTCATAAAGCAAGGATTTAAAAAAATGTATTAAAGGACCATGATTTGTACTTTTGTTATTGATAAGGATCTTCCAGGCATTACACCCATCAACTACCCCTGAGGCCATGTAATCCCATCAACTGCCAACACCCAGTAACTATAAAACCCTGCTCCCGGAAGAGAACAGCACAGAGTCTCCTGCCTCCGTGCCTGTTGTCCTCACTGGGGCTCCTTGGAGGAGGGTGGGTTGAATTTCCCTCCCCACCCCGAGTAGAGCCCTGGCAGCTGAAGACCTTCGGTTCCAGCCACAGCCATGCTTAAAACCACTCTCCACACATTTGGATGAGCCTCACGCATGAAGAGACCAGCAGAGGAACCCAGGTGTGCGGGACCTGGGGCGTAGTTCCCCAAGCCTACTCGGATTGGGATTCGGGCCTCCTCCACCCGGAACCCCTATCTTCCAGGCGTTACACCCACCAACTGCCCCCATTGCCGTGTAATCCCATCAACAGGCAAGACCCAGTGACTATAAAACCCTGCTCCTGGAAGAGAACAGTGCAGATTATCCTGCCTTCACGCCTGGCTGTCCTCACCAGGGCCCCTTGGAGGAGGGTGGGTTGAGTTTCCCTCCCCACCCTGGGCAGAGCCCTGGCAGCTGAAGACCTCCAGTTCCAGCCACAGCCATGCTTAAGACCACTCTCCACACGTTCGCACACGCCTCATGCATGAAGGGACCGGCAGAGGAACCAGGTGTGTGGGACCCAGGGCGTAGTTCTCCAAGTCTATTCGGATTGGGATTGGGGCCTCCTCTACCCAGATCCCCCATCTTCCAGGCGTTACAGACACCAACTGCCCCCGGAACCGCATAATCCCATCAACGGCCAAGACCCAGTGACTATAAAACCCTGCTTCCGGAAGCCAACAGCCACTTACTCTGGTGAAACTGGCAGGCTACCAAAAGTATCCTGCCCACACGGCAGAGTCTGGCAAACTCCCCATGGCGTATTCAATATGCCAAAAACCAGTAACAATGATGGATCTCATTCTCCTGACCCTGAAAGAGCCTCGAATGTGGCACTTTTTAAAATCTCAGGGCTAGGACGAAGGAGACGTTACTGGGGCCTGCTCAAGGCAATTGATGACCAACAGGATGACAGTGATACAGTGAATGATAAGGTTATATGCATACAGTGTCCCAACACCACACCCAGCACCAGAATGTCAGTATCCCTCCACAAATACCTCAAGGCTCCCTTCCATCCATAGCCCAACTCCATCCTCTTGGTAAGCTCATCTCTGTTGATTGTTTCGCAGATTGTTTTCATTGGCCATTTGTTATTTCCTTACTATGTTTCTTTATATTCTTACTGTCCTCCCATTGTTTTCATCGATTTGCTCGAGCGGGCCCAGTAACGTCTCCATTGTGAGACTTGTTGTTACTGTGTTAGGCATATCAAATATGTCATGGGTAGCTTGCCAGGCTTTGCCGTGTGGGCGAGATACTCTCGGCAGCTTTCCGGGCTCTCCGAGAGGGACAAAGGAATCGAACCTGTCCACCAGGCCAGCCGCGTGCAAGGCAAACACCCTACCACTGTGCTATCACTTGTGTGACCTTTCTGTTATACATATGTGAAAAATCATTTTGTATGTGCTGCATTCCTTCTGACTTCACTCATCATGATTTTCTTTTTCAGTCATTTTTCTTATAGCTAAGTAGATTTCCACTGTGTTGTGTGTGTGTGTGTGTGCGTGTGTGTGTGTGTGTTTCTTTTCACTCATCTATTCTTGGGCACTTGGGCATGTACTTGGTTTGTTTCCAGATCTTGGTGATAGCAAGGTTTTTTTTTTAAGAGTTAGATGTACTCAGTTTCAGATTCTGTGAGACCAGAGAGATAGTACAGAGATTAAGGTGCTTACCTTGAATGCAGCCAGGGCTCATTTTTTGGGTACCACACATGGTTCCCTGAATTTCCTGAATACTGTTGGGTTTGTTCATAAAACAAAACCAGATTTGAGCTATATATTAATTTTACCTTTCTAACTACCATGTGTACATTTTCCATCAATATCTAACTTAGCAAGGTTGTTATGACAGTGAGATGATGTATATAAATTTGTATGGCATATAGAAGATGCTGAGCAATAAATAATTGCTTTATTTTTCTAGAAAATGTATCCTTTATAGAATACAATAAAAATTTCAATACACATGCTATGTTAATTTCAGTGTTTTAATTTTGAAGAGCCCCAGGCCACAGCTTAACAAAAATTATAAAAAAAGACTAGGATTGAACACATGGATAATACTGTCTGTATTACAGGAATAGTCAAGATCTAGGCTGAGAGCATCTTTTTCCTTTTTGAATAGATCTGATACATATAATCTTCAGTTTCAACCAGATTTTTATAAAATTTAGTTACTACCCTTACAGAATTCTAACCAAATATATCACATATTTTATTGTATAACATGTTTTCCTTTTCCTTCTAGGTTTTTCAGAGCCTTGAAGACCATCATTTGGAAGTGGTGGCTTTTTTCAGAGAAAATGGATTCCATGGACTTCTTGCCCATGATTCTGAGTATGCCCTCTACAATATTCCTTCTTACTACAGTTCTCATGCTCTGAAACTGAGCTGGAATGGAAAGAATCTTACCACCAACCAGTTCCTGATACAGGAGGTGGCCAAGCAGTTGGGCCTGAAACGAATTAATTTTCCCATATTTGCTGCACTGCTAGGTATGTAGTCCAGAGAAATCTCCAGTGATTGTTAGTTTTCTTTCCCAGAATTAGGAGATGAAGAATAGAGAGATTTGTCTTCCTTAAACATGCATTCCAGGGTTTGGAGCCAGAGTACAGCAGGTATGGCTTTGCCTTGCATGCTACTGACCTAGGTTCAATTCCTGGCATCCCAGATAATCCCCTGAGCACCTCCAGGATTAGTTTCTGAGTGCAGAGCCAAAAGTAACCCTGGAGTATTGCTAGGTGTGAGCCAAAGACCAAAAAAAAATCTGCATCCCAAACACTGTTGGGGAGAACCATACAGATTTGGGGGTTAGTTATTAGACAGAGTTCATTTGTCATATGAATTAATAAAGGATATTCCAGAATATTATTTCGATTTTTTGTAAAACTTTATCTTTTGTTATATCCCAAATCTACCTTATGCAATGTTCTATTTCAGGCCAAATGTTCTGGAAGCCCTGGTTAACTTTGTTTCCCCACTCAGAGTATTAATATTTCTTCCTTGGTATCTAAATTTAGATCCAAGAGGACAAATTGTTAGGAGCAGAGAGATAGTACAGCATGTTGGGCATTTGCCTTGCACACAGCCAACCCAGGTTCAATCCTTGGCATCCTTTGGAGATGTATATTTTTTTTTATTTAGGAGTACTGCTATTTATCCAGCCACTGATTAGGCTGATTGAATTTTGCATGAATTCCACCTTACTTTTTTCCCATTTTTTATAGTTTTATTTATTGAATAAAATCCGTGAGAGTAGTTACAAAACTTTTGGGTTTAAGTCTCGGTCATACAATGAAACACCCGTACTTTCACCAGTGCCCATTCTCCACCACCAAAAACCCCAGTATACCTTCATTCCACACCCTCCCCCTACCTGTGAGGCAGATGATTTCCAAATCACTCTCTCTATACTTTGATCACATTCAACATTTCGACACCACACCCACCATTATTATTTGGGATTTTACCCAAACACTCAGATCTGCTGAAAAGGCAACAGTAGACAATTTGTTTTCTATTGCTGGTCAGGAATAATATATGATGTCACGCGGTTGCAGTAGAGTCTGCGCAATTTTGAAATTCTGAAATTTTAACAATTAAATCTGGAGAGACTTCCTAGGTTCCGAGATCTGTTCCTGAGTCTCTAGGATCATGGCCATTAAGCAGCTTGATTAGGAGCCAGAGAGGATGTTTGTGGGCGGCGACTTGCAGTCTCGTTGGGGTGGGGAGGAAAGGGCCAGCTCCACCCCCATCCCATGAGGCCCTGCGTGTCTCGTCACAGTAGACCCAAACCTGACTGTCCAATGGTCTCTGCTGGATGGCGGCCACTGAGCCACCAAAGGGGAGCAGGCCAAGGCACAAAACCTTTTCCCACCTGGGTTGGCCCAGTGCCAGTAACCTACTGCGTGGCCCACATGCATTTCTGCCAAAGCCGTTGGGTTTCAAGATTTGTTTCTGAGACTCTGGGGTCATGGCTGTTAAGTAGCTTGATCAGGAGCCAGAGAGTCCGTTTGTGGGTGGCGACTCAGAGTCTCGTTGGGACAGGAAGGAAAGGGCCGGCTCCACCCCCATCCTGTGAGGCCCCTGCGTGTCTCATCACTGCGGGCCCAAACCTCAGTGTCCAATGGCCTCTGGAAGATGGTGGCCACCAGGCCGCCAAGGTGGAGCAGGCGGAGGGGCAGCACCCTTTTCTCCCTGGGGTGGCCCGGCGACAGTAACCTACTGTGTGGTCCAGACGCATTTCTGCCAAAAGCCGCTTGGTTTTGAGATTTGTTTCTGAGTCCCTGGGATCATGGCCATTAAGCAGCTTCATCAGGAGCCAGAGAGGCTGTTTGTGGGCAGTGACTCTTTGTGGGTCTTGTTAGCTAGGGGAAGAAAGGGCCGGCTCCACCCCCATCCTGTGAGGCCCCAGGTGTCTCATCACTGCAGGCCCAAAACTGTCTTTCCAGCGGCCTCTGGAGGATGACAGCCACCAGGCCGCCAGGGGGAACAGGCCAACGCACAAAACCTATTCCCACCTTGGGTGGCCCAGCACCAGTAGCCTACTGCAGGAATCGGACGCATTTCTGCCAAAAGCCATTGAGTTTTGAGATTTGTTTCTGAGTCTCTGGGATCAAGGCCGTTACACAGTTAAATCAGGAACCAGAGGCCATGCCTCCAATTATATAGCTGAGCTGGAGGTGGTTTGTCAGTATGTCTCCCACATACCTAACTTTTGGCCGTTTACTTTCTTGGTAAACTTTGCCCCAAGTTTTTGGGGTCTGGCCAAAGGCACAGAAGCAATTTTGGGGTATCTAGAAGTCTGAAGGAGCCATGAGGCTGCTGATGCACTCGCCTCACAGGTACAGATTGACTTGCTGGTGGCACCATACCGCATTGGAGATGTATATTAATGATGAAAGGCAAACTATGTTTTGCTCTTTTGATGCTTCTTATATGTTTTCTGTTCTACGAAATTCAGTGTTGATAAAAGAGTGATTTAGGTAGAATGACATAATAATGGGAATTCAGTTTTTCAATGGACATAAGAGGAAAAAACAAAACAAAACAATCCCTGGAATCACATATGGTTCCCAGAGCACTGCCAGGAAAAATTTCTGAATGCATAGAGAGGAGTATTCCCTGAGCATATCTGGCTATGGCCCCCCAAAACAAAAAGCATAAATTGTTGTTTATATTTTTTGTTTTTGTTATGCTAATATTTTATTATTAAAGTGCCCAACATTCTAGGGGAAAGGGCAGCTCAGATAGAGAAGGGAGCACCAAATAAAGGGTGTTTGGAAGATCCTCCCAGGTTGGGAGATGCATGTTGAAAGTAGACTATGGACCGAACATGATTGGCACTCAATGCCTCTTTTGCAGACCACAACACCCAAAAGGAGAGAGAGAACAAAAGGGAATGCCCTGCCACAGAGGCAGGGTGGGATGGGGGGGATGGGGGTGGGAGGGATACTGGGATTCATGGTGGTGGAAAATGGGCGCTGGTGGAGGGATGGGTATTTGATCATTGTATACTCGAGATCCAAGCACAAAAATTTGTAAGTCTACAACTGTACCTCATGGTGTTTCACTAGTAAAAATTAATAAAAAAGAAAGTGCCCAAACATATAGCAAAAGTAAAAGAATTTCACAGTTAAAGCCCTGTATCCACCATCTGTTTATTGCCACTAGCATTTTATTATGCTTATCATATACTTAACACTTTTTCTTCTCATCTTTTTATTTGTATTTCACAGTAATTCCAGATTATGTTTTTAGTTGTTTTTTCATTTTGTTTTTGTTTTTTTTTTGTTTGTTTGTTTGTTTTTGTTTTTGCTTTTTGGGTCATATCCGGCAATGCGCAAGGGTTGCTCCTGGCTTTGCACTCAGGAATTAATCCTGGCAGTGCTCAAGGGACCATATGGGATGCTGTGAATTGAACCCAGGTCCAGGTCGGCTGCGTGCAAGGCAAACGCCCTACCCGCTGTACTATCACTCCAGTCCCTTAGTTGTTTTTTCAAGTACTTAAAGCATAACAATTGATATACTGTTTCAGATATTCCCTTCACTCTTTAATCCTAAAGTATTTGAATTTGGATAGTCTGATGAAGTCAGCACACATTTTGGATTTAGTCTTTGAGCAAATCACTGAGGTAACACCTCCTTGGTTCATTCTCTTTATTTCCTTATCTGTGAAATAAGAATAATAATTCCTTAAAGATACAGGAAAGTTAAAAGAAGTGAGATATATAAAATACCCATCTTATGGGGGCACAGTGCTGCCAGCAGGTCAGCCTGTATCTGTGAGGAGAGTGCATCAGCAGCCTAATGATACCTTCAGGCTTTCTGATACCCCAAAATTGCCACTTTGCGTCTCTCCAGACCTCAACAACTCAGTACTAAGTTTCAAGAGAAATTAAATGACCAAATGTTAGGTATGTGGAAGCCATGCCCACAAACCACCTCCAGCTCAAAAGTACTGATGCCTTGAACAAAAACGATGACTCTTAGTACTTGTATTTCAAACCATAATACACAAAAGCTGCCCATACAGGCAGAGCATGGTGTATTCGATATGCCAAAAACAGTAATGAGAATAGGTCTCATTCCCCTGACCCTGAAAGATCCTCCATTCGTTGAGAAAGATGAGTAAGGGGCGGCTGCTAAAATCTCAGGGCTTGGAGGAATAGAGACATTACTGGTGCCTGCTCAAGTAAATTGACGAACAGCGGGATGACAGTGATACAGTGAATGCACAAAAGGAGAGAGAGAGGTAGTAGGGGATGCCTGCAATAGAGGCAGGCCTGGGGGTTGTTGGGGAATGGTGTGAGGTGTGGAGGGATGGGTGTTGGATCATGGTGTGACTGAAACCCAACCATGAACCACTTGTAATGGTCTATCTTAAGGATATTCAATCAAAATAAAATATCACGGTCATGGTCCTCCCGTTGTTCATCGATTTGCTCGAGCGGGCCCGGTAACATCTCCATTGTGAGACTTTGTTGTTACTGTGTTTGACATATCGAATACGTCATGGGGAGTTTGCCAGGCTTTGCTGTGCGGGCGAGATATTCTCGGTAGCTTGCCAGGCTCTCCGAGAGGGGCAGAGGAATCGAACTCGGGTCGGCCATTTTGGCTGCGTGCAAGGCAAACACCCTACCCGCTGTGCAAAATAAAATAAATAAAAACAAAAATAAATGCCCATTTTATTAGGTAGTCACTAATTGGTGGTTATTATTCTAATAACTACATTGAGTACATAATAGATAATAGCACGAGCTTTAGCAATTCCATCCTAGCTTCTTTGGGGGGTTGGGCGATTTCAGGATTTGAATCCAGGGCCTTACTTCAAACTTTTCATCCTACTATGGGTATTTACTTGTTGACTGTGCCACTGTGATCAGTGTGATAACATGTTAGGATCTCAGTTTCCTTATCTTCATGAAATAATAATACTATGCACAGCTATAATAACTGATGATTCATATGTTATGGTACATAGTAGGTAATCCTAAGAATAGATATTTGTGGACCACATTCATACAAATCTATGAAGAAAAATACTAATACCCCAGTGAATACTGAAATATGGACTTGAGAGATAATACAGGAGTTAAGGAACTTGCCTTGCATTCAGACAACCCCAGTTTGATATCAGGTACTGCATATAGTTCCCTGGACACCACCAAGGGTGATTCCTGTGTTCAGAGCCTGAGCACTGTAGGATGTGGCCCAAAACAAAATCAAGCATGGCAAAAGAAAACAGAAAAAATAGTATGCACCAGGGACATGGCTTAGTCACAGGCACATGCCTTGTGTGTGTGAGGTCCTGAGTTTGATTCCAAGTACTGAAAAAAACTAGAGACCTGGGACTGGAGTGATAGTACAGCGGATAGGGCAATTGCCCTGCACACGGCTGACCCGGGTTCGATTCCCAGTCTCCCATATGGTCCCCCAAGCACCGCAAGGAGTAATTACTGTGTGCATGAGCCAGGAGTAACCCCTGTGCATCGCCATGTGTGACCCCCCCCCAAAAAAAACTAGAACACTTAGTTATGAATTATTTGATAATTTTCTCTCAAAAGCCCGTTCATGACGGTAGTTATGAGGAAATATTTGTACCATAAATAAATGACAAATGTACCTTACAGGTAATCACATTCTTCCAGATGAAGACCTGGCTGCTTTTCACTGGAGCCTGTTGGGACCAGAACATCCCCTTGCATCACTTAAGGTAATATGCCCTATTTCTTCCACTATGCCTAAAGCCTAGAGGACATCAGGTTTTGTTTGACATATTGATTTAATTATCTCTCATTAGCTTTAAAACATCTCAAGTACTTACAGGTAAAAAAAATTAAATTTATGGTGAGTACCCTTATGTCCTAAGTATTCATACTAATCTAAGAAGAAAAATACTAATATGACAGTAAATACTGAAATACTTAGGAAAGAACACAAAAGAAAATTCACAAAAAGGAAATACAGGGACAATAGTATGACTATATGTGCCGGAGACCAAACTTTACATCTGAACCATATCCCTAGCATGAAATTTAGCGAATACTGAAAAACTAATTTTCTTATTCCTATTAAGGTTCTGATGAGACAGTTCATTCTAGTTGTAATTGAAGTTTATGACTGTATGATGTTTCCTTCATGCTCCTGAAAGACCATTTTATACTCTTTCTCTCTTCTCAAGCCTACATTTCTTCCCACTCCTTGCTCACTTAGCTAATAATATAGCTGAGAAAGTTGAAGCAATGGTGCGAGAAACTTCCAACAGCTTTCAGCCCTTAACCTTCTCAACTTTATGCATCTGTATGACCACATGCTTTGCTTTCCTCCTGTTAACTATGGATGATCTGTCCTTATTACTGCCCCAGTGTAACCCCTCTGTTTCTTTTCTTTTTTTTATTTTTATTAGTGAGACTGCTTATTTTCTTGATCCCAACCCCTATTGCTAGTTTAAGGGCATCACTCTTTATTTTTCTGTATCATCATTTTAAAGGCTAAGGTACAGAATTCACTCTTGTTCTTAGTGATCCATTATAGATGTCAGTTGTTCTTGTTGTTTCTGTTTATCTTACCTCTTCTAGGTACGAGCTCATCAGCTGGTTCTTCCTCCATGTGATGTGGTGATCAAGGCTGTTTCTGAGTATGTTAGTTCCATAAAAGACCCCTCAAACCTGGATGTGGTTGGGAAGGATGTTTTCAAACAATCTCAGGTGAGCTAGCTTTCCCATTCATAAGAGTTAACGGTTTTATAACCTTCATCAGTACCAACACATCTCCTGTGGGGAGGGTGGGTCTGTGCTGCTTTCTTCCAGCTGTTTTGTCTTCTCCATGCTCCATCCTTCTCCATGCTCTTCTCCGTGCAAACATGTGTAATTTGCAAAGTTCCTTTTAGAAAATTTTACTAGGACTGAGTTGAATGAGTATTTTACCTCTTATCTATTAATAACCAATGTTATGCAAGTTTATTCTGGAAAATTTAGAAAATAAAACAACTCACTGAAAATCTTATTACCCAGAATTACTCTGGCATGTGTCCTTTTACAACTTTGTTGCTTTCAATCTGTATTTTCACATAAAAGATAGTCTTTCTTACTGAAAGATAATAGGCAATAAAAATAGGATTTAAAGTAAGGCCTCGTGAAACAGGAATCAGTGTTTTATTCTTAATGATGAAAACAGGAGTCAACTTGGATTTTGTTTTGTAAAATAAAAATAAGGTAAAGGTAAAGGCCCTCCCGTTGTTCATCGATTTGCTCGAGCGGGCCCAGTAACGTCTCCATTGGAGGCTTTGTTGTTACTGTGTTTGGCATATTGAATACGTCACGGGGAGCTTGCCAGGCTCTGCCGTGCGGGCAAGATACTCTCGGTAGCTTTCCAGGCTCTCCAAGAGGGGTGGAGAAATTGAACTCAGGTCGGCCATGTTGGCTGTGTGCAAGGCAAACGCCCTACCGCTGTGCTATTGCTCCAGCCCTAAAATATAAAAATATATATAATAAAATATAAAATAAAAATAAATCCAAGAATATTAAAATTGTTAACTTGAAATGATAGTTGTATCTTTATGCTCACTGTAGCATTAAATTCAATACCCATGCCTAAATTTCAATCTTTTCATCAACAAATGACTGTCTAATGAAGCTCTGATATAAATATTCAATGGTCTACTAATCTCCCATTTAAAGAGATGAAATCATGCCTTTTGGAGCAATCTAGAGGTAATTATGCTAAGTGAAACATGTAAGAATAAGAACAGTAGTTATTAGATTGTTTAACTTATAAAAAGTAGTATGATTTACTGAAGCAAATAAACTGGCAAGAAATGACAGAACTGACTCCTGATTCACTAAAATCTATGGATATTAACAGAGAGAAAGGGGAGAGAGGTCTTTTGGTGGTGGAATGGTACTGGAACTTTAAGGAGGTGATGACAGTTATACAAATATAAAGCTATAAAGCTAAATCCTTGGGATTTGATGATATTGTATACCCAATGAAATATTAAAACTTGAAAAAGGAAATTAAAATAAGTTTTAAGTAAATAACTTACTGTAGCTGAATTGAATTTTTCTGTTGTGTTTGAGCCATATCTGGTAGTACTCAAAGCTTACTTCTTGCACACTTTTTTTCTCCCCCACTTTCAACCTTTGAGTTCTTCCTGTGCCCCTGTGTGGTCTCAGATTCATGTCTGATCAGGACTTAGGACCTGGATCCTGAATCCACTTCCACTGTTCCTGAGAAGAATTCCTCATAAGGCAGCAGTGGCTGCCAGAAATGAATGGAGCCATAGGCACTAACCTGATATGTGAATGATTGTTCAAGGTAAATGATCAGACCACCTGGAGCTTGGACCTTCAACCTCAGGATACACAAAGCCCAGGAGTTATGAAAATATATAGGGATATAGTTTCTTCAATAGACAGGGACAGAAGTCCTATTTTTACACTGCCTGAGGATCCCTTACGAGCAAACTGAAGAAATCCTTGGAGAGGATTCATAATTGATACAATTCATACAATTGAGGTAACCAAATAAAACAATAGCAAAACACAGCAGGAGAATGTATGAAGCCAAAAATTAAATCTGTGATCTCAAGGACAAGATACATCATCATTGTAAAGACTAGGTAATATGGGGAGCTGGAGAGAAAGAACAACTGGTACGATGCTTAACTTACAGCTGGGAAATCCAGGTTGATTCCCAGCACCATATCCAGACCCTTTGCCATGTCCCCCAAAACCAAACACATTCTTCTTCAGTGTACATGGAGCATTTTCCAGGATGGACCATGGGCCGGAGTGTAATTCAAGTAACCGTAAAGTCATAAAAATAGAAATCACCTCAAGTATCTTTTCATACTGCGATACCATGAAGATATAACTTAATTATAGAGAATTTTGGGAGAACTACACCCATTTGTCAACTTAATAAGATACTCAAATAACTGTTGAATCAAGGAGTAAATCAAAGAAGTTAAAAGAATATCACTCAAGAAAAATGAAAACACAAAATGTCAGAACCTATGGGACATTGCAAAAGCAGTATTAATGGGGAAGTTCATAACAATACAGGCTTGTATCAGATGAGAAGCAAAAGCTCAAATGAATAATCTGTCCTCACAACTTTAGAACTAGAAAAAGGAACAAATGAATTCCAAAGTAATAGGAAGATTATAATACATATTAGAAGAAAACTCTAAAATCAATCAAGAAAACAATACAAAAGGTCAATGAAACCAGGAGCTGATTTTTCAGAAGAATAAACAAGATTGATAAACCGTTAGACTCACCAGGGGAAAAAAGTGAAAAACTAAAAAAAAAATCCCATCAGATATGAAAGTGGAGAAATCACAAAAGGTTTTGAAGTATTACTAAAAATAGCTATGCTACTAGAAGAAATAGATGAACTGTTAGACTCATACAACTGCCAAATTTGTATCATTACAAATAGAAACCCATACCAGACCAATCATGAGTAAGGAAATTAAAACTGTAATATATTAAAACTGTAATACAATTTATATCCTTAATAATAAAAGCCCTGGTTTAAAGAGCTTCATTTGCCAGTTCCACTAAACCTTCAAAGAATTACTGCCAATATTTCTCATGTTCTTCCAAAGAATCAGAGAAACAGGAATCTTTCCCAACAGCTTTTGAAGCCAACAATACCAAAAACAGACAGAGGTGTTACAAAATGTGAAAAATCACAAACTAATATCAATGAAGATCAATACAAAGATCATTAACTGGATCTCAGTGAACCAAATCCAACAACATATCAAAAGAATGATACATTATGATCAAATGTAATCCATTTCAGGGATTCAAGAATGGACCAGTATATAGAAATAAATTTATGATTGCACTATATCAACAAATGAAAAAATAGAAATCATGATCAATTGATTTGACGAGATCAATTATTTATTCATGATTTTTTAAAAACCCTGAACCAAATAGTGATAGAAGGAACATTACTCAAGACAGAAAGGGTCATTTACAACAAACCTACAGCAAACTTGATATTCCTACAACAGTGAAAAATTGAAAGCCTTCTCTCTGAAACAAGACATAAATATGTCCCCTTTCTCTTTTATTCCATTTTGCCTCAGAAGTCATTGCCACAAGAATTAGGCAGAAAAAGAATCCCAAGAGATCTATATTGTAAAAGGGGTTAAATTAACACTGCTTACAAATGACATGTTTATACACACAGATATACTAGAAACTCCAAGAAACAGTAAAACAATACACAACATAGCAGGTTAAAAATCAGTACACATAAATCTGTCACATTTCTATATGTGAATAAGGATCTAAGATCAAAAACCTACTCCATTTAAAAGTATCAGAAAACATCAAATGCCTATTAATTAACTTAACAAAAGAAGTGTTAAACAAATAGAATGAAAACTGTCAATCACCTTTGAAAGAAATATAAGTAGACACCATGAAATGGAAAAATATTCCATACTCATGGTTTGGAAACAGTAACCGTGTCCTGACAATACTATATTTAGAAAACCCTAAAAACTACAGAAAAACTCCTAAGAAACAATAGATTTGTATATCAAAGTGGCAGGCTACAAAAATAATATGCAAAGTTAATCGCTTTCCTATGTGCAAATAATGAGATTTTTTAAAAATCACATCACTTTTGTGCCTCAGAAAATCAAGTACTTTCGAATCAGCTTAATCAAAGAGATAAAAGAGCTATACAAAGAAAATTGCAAAACACTACTAAAAGAAATAAAAGAGGATATGAAGAAATGAAAACACATCCCCTGCTTATGGATTGGGAGGATTAATATCAGCAAAAATGGCAATACTCTCCAAAGTATTTTACAGATTCAGTGTAATTCCTATAAAGATACCCATCACGTTTTTCAGAGAAATAGACCAAACTCTCCTGAAATTCATATGGAACAATACCTCCACCCCCACCCCCACTCTCACCCTCCACCCCTGAATAGCTAAAGCATATTTGGGAAAAAGAAGATGGGAAGCATCACTTTCCCCAACTTCGTACTGTACTTCAAAGTGATAATAATTTAAACATCATGACCTTCATGGTACCAGAAAAAAAACACCCTCAGATCAATGAAAAACGAGAAAATTGAAAACCCAGAGACAGACCTACAGGTAATCTTTGATAAAGGAGCAAAATATATGAAGCAGAGTGAGGAAAGCCTTTTCAACAAATGGTGCTAGAAAAACTTGTGACCACATGCAAAAGCAAAAAACAGAAACAAAACCCTCAGACTTCTTCTTAACGTGATGCACAAAAGCCAAATCAAAATGGATTAAAGACCTCAACATCAGACTTAAATCCATAAGGAACATAGAAGAAAATGTAGGCAGAACTCTCCTTAACATTGAAGCAAGAGACATGTTAAAGTATGAAACACCACTGACCAAGCACGTGGAAGCAAAGATAAGAAATGGGACTACATTAAATTAAGAAGCTTCTGCAACTCAAAGGAAATAACGATCAGACTACAAAGACAGTCCACATAATGGGAGAAATTATTTGCCTACCACTCATCTTATAGAGGGTTAATACCCAGGATATATAAAGCACTGGTAGAACTTTGCAAGACAAAAAATACCATACAACCTTATCAAAAATGGGAAAAAGAGATGATAAGAAAGACTGTCAAAGAAGAAATACAAATGACCAAAAGGCACATGGAAAAAGCTCTATATAACTAATC